GGTGACGCGACCTGGGGGCCCTATTCCAACCTCGGGTCCCGTGAGGGGCCCGTGTGTAGGTTTTCAGCATGTAACACTCTCTCTCTCTCTCTCTTTCAGCATGTAACAACCAGGGTTGCTGTCAAGCTGACCTTGGCCAGAGCTGCGGTGAGTCGTTTTGCCCTGTAGCGTAGCAGGTTCGGGGTGTGAGGCTTGGAAGAGCTTGGCAGAGAATAGATAGCTTTGGAGGGTTTTGCTCTGGGCAGTGGGATAAACCCTCGGGCTTCTGGGTTTTCGGATGGTTTCTGTGGACTTCTGTGTTTTCTGGAAAAAGGGATATTCTAAGCCGAAGTCAGCTAATGGCCCCGGCATTTCAAATTGGTTTACATATGATTCCACATGGGACGTTGGGCCCGGTTCCCAGCACGTGTTGCTCCCCACGAATAGACTGGAAAACAAAAAAAAAAAAAGCTAGGGCAATTGTCCCGGCGGTTCATGTCTGCCTGCTCCAGGCAGGGAAAAATTAATCATACATCTTGCTTTGATATGTCTCATTGGTTTCATCCTTGTCTTCTGCAGCAGAACTGCTCATCCATGTATGCTCATGCATCACAGAGAGAGAGAGAGAGAGAGAGAGAGAGAGAGAGAGAGAGAGAGAGAGAGAGAGAGAGAGAGAAGGTCACGTAACATTGGACATGCAAAGAGAAATCGAAGGGAAGTCGAAATTTGGTGCAACTTTGTCTTTGCAATTGCAAGATCCAGAGTCCACTTGCGCAAACAGGAAACGTCCTCTTCCTCACCCACTCACCCACTTACTCACTCACCCACGCACTCATCTCCCACTCTCGGTCCAGAACGAAACTAAGGCGAATCTGAAGAGAGAGGACTACCCTTTTTCCTTCTCCTTTGTGGTGGCGGAATTGGAATGTAGACTTTGGACTGTCGTCTGTCGGCCTGATGAAGAGAGAAAAAGAGGGGAATAGCGTTGCGGAGGAGGATCTGGGAGGCGAAGACAAGTGACGAATATTGATGACGGGAACAGGAATGGAGAGAGGTTGGGACGAGGTAAGGGGAGAGAGACGATCGTGTGGCTATCTCCTGATTGTCTGACACGCGAGAGTGCAGAGGCAAACGTCCTTTTCCATCCCTCCTTGGACCCTCTGGCGATGGCAGTTGCCTTGTGAAAGTGACCAGGGAAGAAGAAAGCAGCAGAAGAAGAAGAATTGTGAAACTGACCAGGGAACAAGAACGGAGAAGTAGAAGAAGAAAAAGAAAAAGAAAAAGAAGAAGACTATGAGACGACAAGGAAGACGGAGAAGAAGAAGAGGAAGAAGAAGGAAGACAAAGGAAGGAGAGGCTGCTGCGTCAAGAATGAAGGTCTTGCGTGAAAGGGTTGTGTCTTGAACACGCCAGCGAGCTCTGGGTCTTGGCTATGGGGTCTTCTTCCCTCGATTGTTGTTGACGTCATCAACGGCCGGGGCAGCCAGAGTATGTCAGCGTCATGAGGAGTGTGGGCTGCTGCTCGGCGCGTTTCTCCCCCACCGGACACGAATGATGAGGAGGCGATGGGTATGGTCTGGTGTGTGCGTGCGACTGCGTGAAAGGGCACATGGTGGGGCGTGTGCGGCGGCCATGATGACGTGCCGAGGCCGCCGCACAACGTTGTAGTCGCACATCGTTGTCGCTTAAGCATCAGGCTGGGCAGCGCGTCTTCTGCGTCTGCGGCCCTTGCGGCGCTTCTTCCCGCCCTTCTTGCCGCGCCGGCGTCTCCTCTTGCAAGTGGTCAGTCCATCTCGGATCACTGCAGACCAACCATATCCAACCAGACACATCCAAACATCATCATCCACGAAGTCACGATCAGTTGCCTGTTGGTTTCTTTGTTTGTAATTTGTATTTTTCCATAATCTCGAGCCAAGAAAAAAAAAAAAGGAAAAGAAAAAGAAAACGAAATCGTTTTTCTTTTTCCTTTTTCTCCCGTTTTCCTGATCAGATACTACGCTTGACCTCACCCAAAAGACCAAGAAAGATATATGCGCGGGCATTCAATATCTCCGCGTTCCCAAAAAGGTTAAAAAAAAACGACCCCTGCCACCACCCTCCCCGCCGGCCTTCCCTTGCCCGCAGGGCCGGGGTCGTCCTCCTCTCGTCTTCCCCCCGAATGAAAAACGCCCGGTTATCTCGACAGAGTCAATGGCCCAAATACACATCTACCAAGTTGAAGACGGTCTCTTCCCTTCGTCTCCGGCTTCTTTTGGGTCTTGAATTACCCCCCGAAGCAATAATCGCATTCCACCTTTTTGTTGTTCTTTTCTTTTGTAATTCCAGGTCGATGCATTGTGCCTTTCAGCGGGAAGCATATACCGCCCGATTCCTTCTTTTTTTTCCTTTTTTATTGTGTGTTTCCGTTCCCGCCTGTCTCATGCAACTAGGTAGGTCTAGGAGACACAGGGCTTCCTTCTTTTTGCATCTTCAATCGTAATAAGGCTATCTTACCTCCAAGATGGGTTGAGCGGCCCTCGCCGGTGCTTTCCGTCTCAGTGACCTCCTGGTCCTGGTCGACGGGCTCGGTTTCCTCCGACCGGCTGTCCTCACGTAAAAAATCAACAAAAAGTCAAAACGATCAAAACCACACACACAGACACACACACACACACACACACACAGACACACACACACACACACACAGAGTCGATCATCCGTCGAAGAAGAGACGATCAAGAGCCGTCAAGAGATCTGAGTGGGGCGGGGGTTGGGGCGTTTGGGGGGTTGGGGGGTTTGGGGGAGGGTGTTTGTGGGCGGGAGAGTCTGGATCTTGGGAGGATTTGTCAGATCTGAGTGGGGAGGGGGTTTGTGGGCTGGAGAGTGGGTCGTCCGACGATTTGTCACGGGTGATGCTCTATGTACTCAGATGCACTCTACACCCTAAACCCTCTTAAATGCCTAAAGCCTAAGTCCCAGTACCTTGCATGACGTTCGTGGAAATGTAATGGACCACCACAGATTGGATTGAATGATTGATTGATTGACAGATCGGATTGATTGATTGATTGATTGATTGATTGACAGATCGGATTGACTGATTGACGGAATGGAGACCATCACAGGTTGGATTGATTGATTGATTGGCAGATCAGGATTCAGGATTGGGTTGGTTGATGAAATGAGGACCACCACAGACTGGATTGATTGATTGATTGATTGATTGGCAGATCGGATTGACGGGTTGATTGATTGATTGATGGAATGGGGACCACCACAGATTGGGTTGATTGATTGATTGGCAGATTGGATTGATTAATTGATTGATGGACTGGGGACCACCACAGGTTGGATTGATTGGCTGATTAACAGATCGGATTACGTTGATTGATTGATGGAATGAGGACCACCACAGATTCGATTCATTAATTGATTGTCAGATCGGATTGCGTTGTTTGATGGAACTGGCACAACACCTACATTACATTCATTGGATCGCGACAAGTTCATAGAATCGGGACATTTCTGACGGCAAACAAAGAGAAAAGGAATCGGGACTGCTATGAGAAAACAATAGAGATCTTGCGGATGGTTCGCAGATTGATTGGATTGATTGATGGCATGAGTTTATGGAATTTTGGGACATTTCTTGTGGGGGGGGGGCGACAAAAAGAAAAGAAAAGAAAAGGAATCTGGAAACCAAAAGGGATGTCGAAGATTGACGGATAGTAACAAGTTCATGGAATCGGGACATTTTGAGAAAAAACTTAAAAAAAAAAAAGAAGCAATGGATCGGGACATTTACGGAAAAAAAAAAGCAAAAAAAATGGGGATGCGGGAGGGGCGAGGGGCAAACGCGAAAATAGAGAAGTGACTTACAGCTCCATGCGGAAAGCTCCCCTGGTGGGTCGCACCATCTTGCTTTCCTTCAGTGGCTGTGTAACCAGCACAGCACACAGCTACTGGGTTCGAACCCGAGTTTTTTTAACCTGTGCATGCCAATCCCGGAAAAAAACACACACTTTTGTCATCCATTTGCACAAACCGAAAATGCACTATTTATTAATTACAAAACCAAAAAAAAAAAAAAAAAAAAAAAAAAGACACCACGTGCATTTTTGAGCGGGTTGGTTGTGTGAGCCGTTCGTGATTGCCACCCTCCAAGTTATGGTAGTGATTGGGGATCGCTGCCACTTTCCAAAGCTGGGAGCGTACAGAAAACTGCGCTTCCGAGACGCAAACACGGCGTCGGTGGTGGTCCCCGCTACAACAGCTCGTGAACTGCGCCAATCACAACGACGGAGAGTAGATGGAGGAGAAGCAGGCGATGGCGGACATGGCGGTAGGGACCTGAAGGAGAGACAGCCATAGCCAGACGGCGTACGCGTACATCGTGCACAAGGAAAGAAGGAGACGCGTACGTCTACGTCGTGGGCAAGGAAAGAAGGAAAAGACGGCAAGTGGGTAATGAAAGAAGGAGAGAGGCATATCCAGACGGCGGAGGACGTGAAGGAGAGAGCCGTACGGCGTACGGCGTACGGCTACATCGTACGCGTTTATGGCGATCACTGATGTTCTTTTTTTTGTCCTTTTTTTTTTTTCCGTACGGCGTACGTAAACGCGTACTACCGTCTTCTTTCCGTGATCTACTGTACGGTTGAGGACGCGGAAAGTACACCACGCTGGTGATCACTGAGGTTCTTTTTTTTCCTCTTTTTTTTTCTAAGGGCGACGATTGTGGGGTTCCCCGGCCCCGAATTGGATTTCCAAGGAATAAAAGAATGAAAAAAAAATAAAAAATGTATGACCTGCCCCAGGTAATTCCGAAGAGTTTCAATCATTTTTATTTTTTTTTAAAACAGAACCTCACGGTTCTGGCTCCTTTTCCATTCTGGGGAGCATCAGTCCGGTTCCTATTCCACCGGCAAGTCAGAAATGATTACAAAAGGTACTCACACACGCTCCTCCCCTTTATGGTAGGAAGGCCCGAAAGACGGCATTGATTACTTCCCATGGGAAGGATGTACCATCATTCACCCCTGCCCAAGTTGGCCTATTTGCCGTAATCTTGGGCTTGTAAGGCCTCCCGAGGTTGTGAACTCTGTAATGTGGTCTCTGTCTGTCGGACTATCTGAGCTTTCCGTAGTTCTTCCTCTCAGCTGTAAAGCTGTCGAATCTGAGTGTATTGCTGGTGGAGCTAGGTCTGTCTTCCATTGACTCTCTAGCTATGGTCTTTAGTCCTTATTTTTCTTTTTTGACCACCTTGATATGCTATCCTGCTATGCTCTATTTGTTGACTGGCTGCTGAGCTACCTCTGGCCTGACCCTCCCAGTTGTTTGGCTGCCGGGTGCTAGAATTTAAGTCCTGTAGACCGTGGTCCGTAATAGCCGTAGGACTTAGACCCTGTATTTTAGTTCTAATTTCGGCTCATGGGCTGAAATTCTGTATAGTTGCTGGAGTTTCGATCATTTACTTGCCGTCGAGATTCGAACTCGACGGCAACCCAGCTTTCTGGCCAAGATACAGTTTCGAATTGCAGTTTGGGCAATGTATACAACCCAGCTTTCTGGCCAGGTAGGGTGCCCCAAGTGCAATTGCAAACTGTATCTTTTATGCATTGCAGCAGTTCATCGGGGTGTGTAGCAACTGACCTGGGGCTAAGTGGTGATCACTACCGTCTTCTCCCGAATAGAACGCCCGGTCCTTATAGGTGCTGCTGTATTTGGCACAACTTTCTGCCCAGATACGGCGATAATTACCGGGCGTTCTATTCGGGCGAAGACGGTAGTCAGCGCCCACCGTAAGCGAGAGACACGACAGCAGCTATATCACCTTAATCGTGGAACTGACCCGCCGCAGAGGTAATTCAAAGGTATCAAAAGATACAGTTTGCAATTGCACTTGGGGCACCCAACCTGGCCAGAAAGCTGGGTTGTATACGTCGCCCAAACTGCAATTCGAAACTGTATCTTGGCCGATGGTGCAATTACAACTCATCTTTGTGACTCCCTCGTAGTTTCCTCACGTATCAATCATCTACTTTCATCGGGAAATCAAGATTCGAACTCAGGTATGCATTTCATAAGCTCGTGCGTGTGGTGTAGTATCACTAATTAATCGACGGCCTCCCTCCGTAAGCGCAAGTCGCGACAGCGATATCATCGATCATCGTGGACCTGACCTATCCCAGGTAAATTCAATTGACAAAAGTTTCGATCATCTACACTCTTCCCCCCGAATACAACGTACGGTCATTATAGCTGTATTTGAGGCATCTTTCTGTCTAGATACAGCGATAATGAGCGTACGTTGTATTCGGGGTAAGAAGGTAGTTCCATCGGGGTTCGGACTCAGAGGTATGCACTTCAGCAGTTCATTGGGCTCTGTAGCAGCAACTGATCTGGGGTGGGGTTAAGCGGTGTGATGGCTACTTAGCCGCCACCAGTAATCAGCACACACCTCAGCGGAGGAAAATGAGGGATATGAGTAAAAAAAAAAAAAAAAAAGGAGGGATGGGAAGCAAGAGACAAGTGGCTACGAATTGAGCGAAGGATGGGCGGCAAGTGCATGCACCAGTTCGCTCTACCCCAAGATGCGCAACTGGACAAAATTGGCGCGCACTGCAGTCACGCAAGAATGGCCTACTCATTGTGACAGCTGGCGGATTTTATCCAGTCACGCGCAAGTCAGTGATCATCATGACTGTATCTGGACTGGAACAGGGTTAATGTACGCAGTAAAAAAAAAAAAAGGCATGGACCAGGACGATTCGCCCGCCAGAAACCGGAAGCGCCCGAGGTGAGCGACATTCAAGTCAGTTACACCGAGACACACAATCAACGGTGGGTGTGTCAACTAATCAATCTTCCATCGAGGATGTAAAAAAAAAAAAAAAAAAAAAAAAAAAAAAAGGACAACTAATCAATCTTCCATCGAGGATGTAAAAAAAATAAAAAAATAAAAATCGTCTCCAAGCATCTTTGTCTCTGGTTCTTAACTTCTTGTTGTTGAGAGGATGAGCTAAAGCAGGGTGGGGTGGAGGAGGGAGGGAAACTGAGATTTTTTTTTAAAGGGTGACTACACAATGCGCTGGCAGATGTCGAGAGTGTAACCAATTAAGAGAAACGAAGGAGCGAGTAGCCAGGTGCGTGTGCTGCTGCCTGCGCGCTGCTCTCGGATTCATCATCACACTACTGCGTGCGCGCTGCTGTCGAATTTGTCGTTGCCTGACGTTTTATCGAGGAAAAAGGAAGGAGCGCATAGTAGGCGGAAGTACCTCTCTGTGATGTATTAGAG